GGAGAACAAGAAACACATATACCAAAACAAAACCCATTAAAACAGGAAGTCAGAAACCATAATATACAAGCAAAAGACCAACAAGACCAAAAAGAAAAGTTCAAACAAAGCAAAGCAATGTAACACAAAAAGTCTGTAGAAGTACCATTGAGTACTTTTTGTATTGGCTCTCTTCTGCTGGGGATGGGGCCTGCCCTTAAGTATGGTTAATATACCCAGCAAGACTCCACTAGAGAAAGCTAATTTTTCTTTTGCAAGCTTGGAGACAGCTTCTTGATTAGGGATGGGAGCTTGTGTCCACTTTCCCTTCTCATTTGGGATCTGATTTGGTTTGAATTTGTGCAGGCCCTGTGCATGCTGTCATGGTTTTTGTGAGTTCATATGTACATCAGTCCTATTGTGTCTGAATGACACCATTTCCTTGGTGTCATCCATCCTCCCTGGCTCTTCCAATCTTCTCACTCCTTTTCTTCATAGTTCCCTGAGCCGTGAGAGGAAGGGTTTGATGAATATGTCCATTTAGGACTGAGTGTTTCAAAGTCTCTCACTCTCTGCATATTGTCCAAGGTGGGTCTCTGTATTAGTGGATGTTAGCTTTAAAGCCTTTGGTAGACCAGATATAATATAATATAATATAATATAATATAATATAATATAATATAATCACAGAGGTTAGGCATAGATTAAAGGCCTAAGAGGAGAGGAGGGTCTCCTAAGGAATGGGAAATAGACTACAGTGTGGAGAGGCAGCAGGGGGACTGAGGCAGGAGGGTTAAACAGGAATGGGGAGGGGAGAAGGGGGTAATAGGGGAGGGAATATGGGGCGGGACAACTAGCACTCAGTGCCATTTGAGGGGTCTTATGGAAATGTATTCCATCTTTTTTAAATTGTAATTTAGTTGCCTTAGAATTCACCAGTTCTAAGTATACAGTTAAATAAGCTTTAAAAGTTATGCATTTAATCATAATACCAGGAAACATTTCTGTCAATACCAAAGTATCCTTGGGCTTCTTTGCAGATAATTCCTAGCCTCCACCTGTGTGCAGTGGCCCAAACAACTACAGTTTGCCTTTCTGTCACTGTATTTTAATCTTTTGATGACTTTAATACATGAGTATTCTATAACATATTGTTGTTGCTAGCTGACTTTTATTTAGCATGCTATTTTTATATTAATTTTTTAAATGTGTAAGTGTGTTTGTCTGCATTAGTTTATGTGCACCACATGTTCTTTTTCTTTTAAGAAACAAAACAAAACATTTTTCTTCCTGTCTTTCCAGTCTTGGACTAGCCCGTTCTTCCTTTACAGCCTCACTTTTAACTCCCCAGATACTGCTATAGAAGCTTGAGGAGGCTCAGTGTGCAGTGTCACTGACTAATGCACCTGAACTGGGGGGAGGAGAGCCTGGCTCAGTGTGCAGTGCCTCTCACCGATGCCCCTGAACTAGAGGGAGGGGAGCTTGGCTTCCACTTACTGCATCCAGGGTTTGGTCAGGAGTGGACATGGCATTGTTTTCAGCGGAGAAAATTAGCATCAATGTAATATTCATTAATTTCTGCAGTTGTGGGGAAGAAGTCATATTAAATAAACTTTTGTTTATTTAAAAAAAGTTTGTTGTTTGTTGTAAGAGGATGTTCCTGTAGGCTGTTATCTTTGTCTTTCTGGTGGCAAGTAGATTTGTTTCTGTTCTTACCTTTCACTCCTCCTTCCCTCCTCACACACCTTTATATCAGCATCTCTACACTTTAAGAATTAGGGTTTGGCTTGCAAACCATGTTTCCTGGTGTTAATTGAAGTTCTTGATTTTTAGTCGTAGGAACAAGCAGTGGAGCCCTCCAGCTTTTCATTGATGCTGGGGTTCCTGTGAATTCAGACATGATCAGTCAATTTGTGCATGAAGCGCTTGCTGAGACCATTGCTGTCATGTTAGGTGACAGAGAGGCAAAGAAGCAAGGGCCTGTTGCCAAAAGTGTTTCTGGTAATACTTCAACAAATGAAACTAACTTACCGGTAAGAATGACTTTCTCTCCTTTTGTGACTTAATATTTTAAGAATTGTGGGGGATTTTTTTAGACATTATAAGAGGGAGAGAGAAAGAGAGAGAGAGTGTATGTGCTTGCTTGAGACAGGGTCTTAATCTATAGTCCTATAGTCCAAAGCTGGCATGGAGCTCTCTAGTCCAGGCTAGCCTCAGGCTCACGATAATACGCCTACTTCAGCCTCCTAAGTGCTAGTATTATAAGTGGGAGCCAACACTCCTGCATAAAAAAGATACATTTTAAACTTCAGGTTATTAAGATCATAGATTGAAGCTGAGCTGTGATGGCACATGCCTTTAATCCAAGAATTTGGGAAGCAAAGGCAGGCAGATCTCTGTGAGTTTGAGGCCAGCCTGTTCTACAGAGTGAATTCTAGGGCAGCCAGGGCTACAGAAAAAAACCCTGTCTCAAAAAACAAAGCAAAACAAATAAAAAAAAGCAGAAGCAGATTGTAGATTGTGGACATAATTTTATTCCTTGTTTCTGTAATTAATATTTTCCCTAGCATTTTATTATTTTATTTTTGTGATTGGGTTTCTTATAGCCCAAGCTAGCCTTGAAGTCACTATGCCCTTGAAGCTGACCTTGTACTGGGTTCAGGTATGAGCTATTACACTCAACATTTTTTTTTAATTGTAAAATTAAAATCTACAGAAAAGTTACATGTGTAATACAGTGACCATTTTTTCCCTGTATTACATTTCACAATTGATAGCATTTGAACACATTTCTAAAATCTGTATCTGCTATATATTAAAACATTTTATTATTTTAAATGCATGAGTGTTTTTTCTGCATACATGTCTGCCACTTGCATGCAGTTCCAACAGAAGCCAGAAGAAAAATCAGATCTGGAACAAACAGTTGTGAGCCTCCATGTGGGCCCTGGGCATTGAATCCAGGTTCATTGGAAGAGCAGCCAGTGCTCTTAGTTGCTGAACCATCTCTCCAGCTCTCTATTAAATTTAAGAACATTCAAAAGTTGGGGATATATGACTCTACCTCAAAACTACTGGTAGTATTCCCTAAGAAGAAATTTTCTTTGTATTTTATTAATCGTTTTCAGTAAACATACAAAAATAATGGGTTATAACATTTCGTATTGTTTACTTTGCTCACACCCTCTACCTCCCTTCTCTTCTTCGTGTGTCCCCTCCCTCAGCAGAGTGTGGTGTTAGGTGATATGATGCACCTGCTCATCCCTGTGCTTTAGTACCTTGATGCTTGCAGTGTAGACAGCTTAGGGTGAGGACCTGTGTTCACTCCTTCAGTTTGTTCTGTATTCATTCACTGCACTGCACATATTTTCATGGGGGTGATTAAATAAGAACATTTGGAAAAACAAGTATAAGTAGGAAGTTTATAATTGTTGCGAGCATAGGCTTTTAGGAAAACCTCAGCTCTATATTTTATTTAGCCTTGCCTATACAATAGAGATAGTTTAAAATCTGCTTACTGAATGTCTAGCAGGACAAGCCCATACCCACTGAGTTCTTCAAGTCTGTCATCCTTTTCTTAGCCCTTTGACATAATATATGCATTTTATTTTTATGAATTTTTAAGTTTAATTTTGGGAGCTGAGCTCTTGCTTCAGCTTCCCAAGGAATGCTATTGCATCCTGCTTTTTAAATTTTGTTTTGAAGTTCTATTAGAAATCCCATTGCTTACTGGGTTTTGGTGAACATTTTTTTTTCCCCTCAAAGAAATGAAGCCTTGGTTCTTAGATTGCTTATATAACAGTGTAGAACACTACAAGAGCCTTGGCTAGAACATCAATCTTGGAAGAAAGTCTAAGACTGTAGAAATGAGTCTAATTTTGATTTTTGTTTTGTTTTGTTTTGTTTTGTTTTATGAGATGGTTTCTCTGTGTAGCCTTGGCTGTCCTAGATCTCACTCTAGACCAGGCTGGCCTCCAACTCAGAGATCTGCTGCCTCTGCCTCCTGACACCACTGCCCAGCAAGGGGCATTTTATTTGTGAAAACTATATTTAAACAGATTTTTCTGCTGTAGGTATATGTAGTCAAGAAGTAGAAAATATTTAGTATATTATTTCTTTTTCAAATAAAATAATTTGCTGTTGAGCAGTGTTACAGACTTTGTAACAATCTTCTGTCATTTTGGATGATATCGGGCATGTTCAGGGTAGTATGGCTGTAGACTTCACCATCAGCTTAAGTAGTAGTTTGCTTTTTAGAGAGGAGATAAAGAGAGAAGTTTTTAAAAAGTGAACAAAGGAAAGAAATACAGATTGCCCATATACTTATAAAAGGTAGTCAGCTCACTAAACTCTCCACATTTGGTAATTTATTTGATAAACCCTGGAGCAATAGACACTCTCATACCCTCTGCTGATAGTGTGAAATAGTACAGCCCTGGAGGGGAGATTTCCCAATATCTCCTCAGAATTAAAGCAGTTCTTTCAACAGTTAGGACTGGAAATATATATGTATGTATGTATGTATGTATGTATGTATAACATATAATAATATATTAGAATTTTAAATTTAAATCAGAAACAATCTTATTGTACATGTCAATCCTGGTTCCCTCTCCCTTCTACCCTTCATAGAAAGGGTGAGGCCTGGGCTGGAGAGATGGCTCAGAGGTTAAGAGCACTGGCTGCTCTTCCAGAGAACCTGAGTTCAATTCCCAGCAACCTCATAGTGGCTCACAACCATCTGTAATGAGATCTTCTTCTGACCTGCAGGCAAACATGCGGGCAAACATGCAGGCAGAACACTGCATACATAATAACTAAATAAATAAATCTTCAAAATAAGTAAAGTTTAAAGTTCTTTTTTAGAAAATTATAAAAAAAAAAAAAAAAAAAAAAAAAAAAAAAAAAAAAAAAAAGAAAGGGCGAGGCCTTCCATGGGGAATCATCAAAGTCTGTCACTGCATTTGGGGCCTGGCCTGGGCCCTCCCCAGTGTGTCTAGACTGAGAGAGTATCCCTCTTTGTGAATGGCCTCCCAATGTCCATTCATACACTGGGGATAAATACTGTTCCACTACCAGAGGCCCCACAGACTGCCCAGGCTTCCTAACTGACACCCATGTTCAGGGAGGACTGGAAACTTATTGCATAGATGAATTTCTGTACATGTAATTGACTTAGGTCAGGATTAGTTGGTAACTCTGAGGGAAGAAACATAGAAACAGGGCACTGTTTTCACTATTACCTTTTGTGGCTTTGAATTTTGGAATCTTTTGAATGTTAACCTACTTGATAAATTAATATTAAAATGCTTCCTTTCTTTGCATCTGGCTGTCATGTCCAAAGTCTCTCCCACCCTCTTCTCTTTCTTACCCTCCCCCATTACTTTTTACATGCTGGTCCTTCATTCTCAGAGGACCCTCTCCTCTTTCTTATCCCTCCCCCTCATTACTTTTTACATGCTGGTCCTTCATTCTCAGAGGCTAATGTTTTGAGATCTTGTCGATCAATTAAGTGCTTCTTTTTTGCTGCATGGCCTACCCTTCAACTTTGTGGTTGACTTTGACCTTCATTTTTATCTGTTTAGTCCTCTCTGTATTAGAAGAGGAAGCAAAGAGCTCTTTCAGAGGCAGAGTTACCTCAGTTGCCCAAAAGCATTATACTGGCAACTAAATATTTAAAAACCAGAGAACTTAAGCTCTTATTTTGTTGTTACTTTGACCATCCATTTAAATTCCGTATAGTCTATGATTGAGTTTATATTACTGTTTCATATTATTTTTGTTTGGGTAATTATAAACACAGTGTAACTTGCTTCACTGATTTATCTCAGGTAAGAGTTTGTACCCCAGTTGCTACACCACAGCCTACTCCTCCATGCTCACCGCCACCTCCTCAGGAGCACGTGTTAGTGAACACTCCAGATTCTTCCCCCTGTGATTCAGATCAGGATGTGGCTTCCTCTATTAAAGAAATATGTACCGAAAAAGGTAGAAGCCTTGTTTCTTTAAAAACATTGTTGGTGTGTGTGTGTGTGTTTGTGTGTGGGTGTGGGTGTGGGTGTGGGTGTGTTTGTGTGTATGTGTTTACTCGTGTGTGCATGTGCCATGGCATATGTGGAAGTCATGAAGCTTGTTTTCTCTTTTCATCTTTACATGGGTACCATGATTGAACTCCAGGTGTCAGGCAAGTGCTTTGCCTACCTACACCTAAAAATGTTTCTATAATAGTTTTACTTTTGGCAAGTCTAGTTTTTGCTTAGTAATGTTATTTCTTGCAAGGAAAATAAGAAATTGCCTGGTTATATAGCTATAGCATAATACCATACACTAGGTAATCTATAAGTTAAATAGATTTTTTTTTCCTTAAAATTCTGGACTCTGCAAAGTCAGACCAAGGGGCTGCCTCTGGTGAGGGCCCTCTTGCTACATCATGAATGATAAAAAGCATTCTATAGCAGCCAGAGAACCTGCAAGCTGAGGTCTCACTTGTCATGGAGCTGCTAATCCCAGGTCAGCTTCATCTACCCTGGGTAGCTCACAAGGGATTAAGTTTCTAACATGAACTTGCAGGGGAGGCACTCATGCCACAGTATTATTTCTGAAAATATGTTGACTAATAACTGCTTACACTACTTTAAATATGTGATAGCTTTAAAAATGCCCTATTTTCAAGGTTTTAAATTTTGTATCTTAATTTAGAAATTTTCTTATTAAAAGCTATCATTGTTGTCATCATACTATTAGTCATTATTTATTTATTTATTTATTTATTTATTTATTTTAGCTGTGACACTTACATGAAGACAGTCTGTTAGCCATGGATTACATTTTCTTCTCATGTTCTACATGTCCATGTAACTTAGGACAAAAAGATCACACTGCATATACTATTCATAACATGTTCTTACAATTAAAAATAAATCAGAAACTTAGAGAAATACAGACATTATAACATATATACAAACCACATGTAAGTGGAAGCATCTCATAGTAATAAGATATAATGTACTATATGTGAATAGTTACAGCACATACTTTTCTAGTACATTTTTAGCTATACAACAGTATACATATATGAATATGCATTTATCATGAATAATTCACAATTTCTCTTTGAAATTTCACTATTCGTAAATACATACAGTGAATTTCAGAGGTATTAGAGTCTTCATACTTCTAAGATATTAGTACTTGGGTTGAAATATTAAAAACTGAAATTTTGATTTCCATTTTTTTATGAGTTTTAAAGCTTCTAATGACTATTGTCCAAAGTTGTTCAAATGCCTAATGAAATATATACTTAAGAAATCTGAAACAAATACCAAGCAGCTCAAGATAAATTGAGGGTGGTGTATGTCTCTGTGTGTAAAGTGCATGCTGCACAAGCACGAGGATATTTCGAACCCCTGTATCCATAAAAAAGCTGGGTGTGGTAGCGTGCACCTTTGGCCCCAGTGCACAACAAGTCATCTTACCAGAAAGTTATTTGCTGAGTTTTTCTGTTTTCAATCTTCAGGAAGTGATATACCTGCCATCACACTTGTTAGTACCCCAACAGTTACCCCGGTTAACACACCTCCTCCAGCAGAAGTGCTGACCCCAACTTTGTCAGAAATTTCCATTGACAAGTTGAAGTTATCAAGCCCTGACCTTCCCAAGCCATGGGACAGTGGAGACCTGCCACTGGATGAAGAGAATCCTAACTCTCTTCAAGAACTTCTTCACCCAAGAGCGATGTAAGCGAGAACATACACTTGTTATTCTGCACCTCTGCCAAATTCTCCCTTCATACTCTATTCCTGCATGTAAAATGGCATAGCAAGGCCTGGTGTGTGGCTTGTTATGAAATCCAAGCTGGTCTGGAATTTTCTATAACAACTGACGTTGTTCTTAAATTGGTAATCCTCCTGCCTTGACCTCCTTAATGCTGGAATGAACAGGCACGTTGCCACCTTTCATGGTTTTAATCTATTCTTTAGAGAAAAAACAAATTGTGTAAATTTTAAATATTTTAAAATTAAGTTTATTCATACTTTCTCATCTTTGCAAAGGTTTGAAGTAAATAAGAATAAACCATCAGATTATTAATGAAATATAAAATTATTTATCTAGTGTAGCTCCTCATTTACTGTGCTCAATTAATGTTTATATTGCTGAGTATCCCATATCAATTTCCTTTGTGGCTAGAGCAGTTTTCAAGGTGGCCTTTGATTAAAGCAAAAGAACTTGAGAAAAATGAATCTTGTTGGTTAGTTATAATAGTGTAGATCATATAAATACTTTGCTAAAAGAGACAGTTAAGTCTGTTTTTGTATATATAAATGGATTTAGACCTTTAGTGACCTTGTAATTGAAAATGTGCCTTTATCTTCTTAGTGTAATGTCTGTGGCTAAAGATGAGGAACCTGGGAGTGTGGACTTCCCTGCTCTGCCTGCAGCACCAGAGCCAGCTCCCCCAACACCACTTCCTGAGGGCACCAAGCCCCCTTCTCCTCAGCAGAATCCTAGTTCTAGTTCATCTACACAGGAGAACAGTTTGAGCATTACTGTCACTGAAACAGAAACCTTAGATAGGCACATCTCTGAAGGGGAGATCTTACTTAGCTGTGGTCAAAACTTGGCCTCCAAGGGTAAGTTAACATATCGTAATTGATTTTGTTAGTTACATTATAGTATTTTCCTTAGTGATAACTTCTTTTAAAAATGTTTTTGTTTAACTTTCAAGTTTTAACATGGCATAATAGAAAGAAAAGATGTTCTGTGCCGGTTGGTTAACTTTTCTGGGTTCTGATTTTGAAGAATAAAATCTCCCTCAGAAATCTTTAGAATTAATTTGAAAATAGCTTGAGATATATTCTGTCAGCCTTTTTTTTCTTTGCATGCATAGATACGCAAATATATACTTAACATGTGTACCTTTATATAGGATCATGCTGTGTATATTATTGTAAAACCTGAACTTTTTACCTAGTAATATGGTATAAACACCAGCACATATGGGTCATGTCTTTTTCCAGTGATATATGATCTATTCAGGTGATGCCTGAGTGAGGGCATTCATGTGGATTGCTTTCCATGTTCCAGACTACATGCCAGGCTGTAATGACCATTCTCGCACTATCTTTGTCCACTTACCTGGTAGCTTCCATAACCAATGTCTGCAAATGGAATTGCTGAGACAGGATTGCCACTTGTAAGTTCGCAATACACTCTCAGTGTGCTTCCTGGAAAAATTAACCAGCTTTTAATTTTAATTAGTTCATATTTGCATTGAACAACTTGTAGCAGTGCCTATTTCTCAGCTTCATAGCTATTGTGCTAATTGGAGTTACTTTAAAATTCTGACACCCTGGGGCTGGAGAGATGACTCAGTGCCTAAGAGCACTGGCACTCTTCTGTGTTCAATTCCCAGCACCCACATGCAGGGAGAACACCCAGATGCATAAAATGATAACAAAAAGTTAAAAACCAATGCTGAGCCAGGTGTGGTCATGCACATCTTTGATCCTAGCACTTGGAGGCTGAGGCAGGTGGATCTCTGGGCCAACCTGGTCCCTCGGAGTGAGTTCCCAGGACAGCCAGAGAAACCTGGTCTTGGAAAAACAAACAAACACATCAAACAACAACAACAACAACAACAACAACAATTTTGACAAAAATAGGTGAAATAAAAACTCATGTTTGTTATGAGTAATTTAATTAATAATGACCTAAATATGAACTTTACCAGTTTTTCTACTGAACTGTAAAGTTTAAATGTAACATTCTGCTTTCTGGCCAGATTACTTAGTAAATTTCTGTTTTTCTAAGTCACTCTACGTTACTTCTAGTTTTAGGAAATGGGGACTTGTATCTGATGAACGTAAACGACAGCTTATCCAGCACTCTGCATGATGCCCTTGAAATGGTAAGGGAGAATTGACTTCAGTGTGTGATCTCACTGGAAGAATATTTTGATGTCTTGTTGCCATTGAGCAGGTTTCCCTTCCCTCAGTTGTTTGAGGGATAGACACAAAATTTAGTGAAATGTTATCCGAGAGTCCAGGCATAGTAGCAAGTGCCTGCCTGTGGTCACAGACACAGGAGAAGTTTAGTTAGGAGGCTAAGCTCCATTGCACCACCTTGTTTCAGGGGAAGAAGAAGGAGGAGGAGGGAGGGGGTGGTAGTGAAGAAATTGAGGGTTGCTTACACACTCCATTCTATAATCCTGTAATGAGAGAAGGAGAAGAAAGTTGTTATGAACTCTAGGGTTCTGATAGTCAAAAGCTGCATGTTAATGCAATTAGGAAAAAAACCTGGAATTGCTTCAGTGTGCTTTGAGCAGGATCTTAAGTACTCTAACTTCTGTAACACATTTCTTATTTTCCTCTAGTCATAGTTACATGACTGGAGAGATGAACAGTGAAGGGGACCCAAGTGCCTCAGGAGCTCTAGAGGGTCTGACACCTTCTTCTGCACTTCATGAGCATCTATACTTGTGTGTACATACTCTCACACACATTGTAATAAAAAATAATAAAAATGAATCTTTTCTTAAAAACTAAAATAAAAACAAGATCTAGGGAAAGTAATCATTACTGGTTATTATCTAGTTCTGTAGAAGAAAAATTGACATTGATAATGCCATGTTACATATTTATAAGTATGTAGCTGTCATATTTTCTTTTACAGCTGTTAAGGACTAGAATTCTTCACTTTTTATGTTTTCAGGTAACTTGAACAAAGAAAGATAACTGTACTCAGAGCTGTCACTCACAGCAGACCAACTTCGAGGCATTGTTGATAGTGTTGCTTCTTTTAAAGCATTATTTCAAAAAGGAGCAGGAAAATGCTTCATTGAGAAGTTTTTGAGAAGATTTTGTTCCAACAGTTATTTTTTTTAACAATGACTTAAGTAATTAGTTGAGTCTCCTGTGAAGAGAGTTACAGTCACTGTTGTGGAATAATATGGGGAGAAGATATAATTGTAGCAATCTTACTTTCATAGGGGAATTACGTATACGTTTGGCCTCTTTAACACACCATTATGGGAGAGTTAGTCACTCTTAGAACTTTATCTGGTATTAAAGTAAATTGATGGACTGAACCCAGACAAAATTATAACCTTTCTTTCTCTACGTTTGAAACTATTTCTAATTGTAATATTGTCACTGCATGCAAACTTATAGTAAACACAAATGTAAAAGTATAATCTAGGAAAACCCAGTGTTAACTGAAGCCATGTGCCATTAGATATTTTATCCCTAAACTCCTAGGAGATGTTTCCAGAGTTAATAAATTGTATTTTATTAAAACAGAATAACCAAAACTAAATAAATTTATTATACTTTATCTTACAGCCAAAAGGCAAGAAGTGATTGTTTTAATGAATTTTAAATCATATTCATACTTGTACAAGGAAATCCATTTCATCTGCTGCAGACACATAGCATCCCCAGTTTCTCAGACAGACAAGTTCTGAGGCATAGTGAAGCCTGGATCAAGTGCTAACAAAAATGAGGGCTTCAGCCAGATGTCAGCTCAAAGGAGGAGGAACACTGAGAGTCTGTGGATGCTCTTGTGTGTCTGCGGCTTTTATGTCATCTGTGGTCCAGGTTGCAGCATCACCCCAGTGCTTGACTGTTTTTCCACACCCTGTCTTGATTTGCACTACATAAATGTTGAGCAGGAGGCCATGTGAGCCCTAGACTTAAGCTTGGCTTGAACTTCACAAAAACACTTAGGAATCATTGTATCTTAGTTGCTAGAGACGGAAGACCCAACTGTTCTAAGTCTACACTTTTTTGGCCATAAGTCTACACTTAAATTGCTTTATATTGTTGTATACATTTTGAGTCAGATGTGAAATGTTATAGTTAAATGGAAGTGAACTACACGAAAATAAGTTCATCCTTTGAAAGATACTGGTATCATTTCTTCTTCAAGTCTTATTAATATAATTGAGGAACCCAAAAGAATTGTTTAATAACTTTTTCTGATGTCTTTGTGTTTGTCTAGGAAGATGATCCTCCCAGTGAAGGACAGGTGATTAGGAGGCCTCATAAAAAGCTTCATGCAAATATGATTCTTTCTCTTTTTACTAAACAAGAACAGGAATTACTAATTTCACAGCAAGCGGAGGTACTTTTCAACCTTAAAGATGTTTGTTTGTTTGTTTGTTTGTCTAGATATAAATACAGGGAAAAAATTAAATTTTTTTTTTTGAGACAAGATTTCTCTGGTAGCATCACTGGCTGACCTGGAACTCACTTTGTAGACCAAGTTGGCCTTGAACTCACAGAGATTTGCCTACCTCTGTGTCCTGAGTGCTGGGATTAAAAGCCAGTGTTACCACACCTGGCTTAAATATCTCCAACTTTTAATTTAGGTAGGACATTGTTTAAGTTACTCTATAATCAGTGTTATAGCCCCTTTAACTTGGACTGAACTAAGTTTTGTAACTGAGAAAAATTTAGATAGTCTATACCAATCTTTTGAGCTCCCTTTTTTTTAAAAAAAAAAAAAAATGAGAAAAATTTAGATAGTCTATACCAATCTTTTGAGCTCCCTTTTTTTTTAAAAAAAAAACAAAAAACAAAAAGATGAAGCTTTAAGGATATTTGAAAAGTTCCATTTATTTTGTTTTATTTTTTTCTGTGTAGCCCCAGCTGTCCTGGAACTTGCTTGGTAGACCAGGCTGGCCTTAACCTCACAGAGATCCACCTGATTCTGCCTCCCTAGTGATAGGATTGACGATGTGTGCCCCAACTGTCTGGCTAATGTTTTTTCACTTAAAGCATGTTGATCCAGGTACACCCAGGCATGTAACTACAGTTTTAGCTCTCAGAAGGCTGGGGCAGGATGATTTGAGACTATCCCAGATTATATAGTAAGACCATGCCTACTATATAAGAAAGAAAGAAAAATAGGGACTGGATAGATGGCTCAGCTGTTAAGAGCACTGGCTGTTCTTCCAGAGAACCTGAGTTCAATTCCCAGCAGCCACATGGTGACTCACAACCATCTTTCATGAGGTCTGGTGCGCAGGAATACATGCAGGCAGAACACTGTGTATGTAATAAATCTTTTAAAAAAAGAAAAATATTTATATAGATAGAATCTTTATGGTAGTTAAGGTATATTATTCCCATCAAGTAATATAAAGTTTTTATTATATTACTAGCAGTTTTAATTCAAAAGGAATGAGAAGTATACTTTTTATCTCCATTTTAAGCTGTTTGAACAATGTATAATGGGTACCAGCATGTAATAGTTTAAGTTTTCTTAGATGTTGTTTTTATTTAATTGGAGTTTGAAAGCCAATAATGATAGTCAGTGTTTGCCACACAAGCATGAGGACCTGATCTTAGATCCCCATAGCCAGTAAAAAGCTGGGAATGGTGACCCGCATCTGCAGTACCAGCTCTGGGAGTGCAGGGACAAGAGGATCCTGGGGCTCACTGGCCAGCCACTCCAGACAGTGGGGTGAACTGTGGGTTCATTGAGAGACTAAATGTTTCAGAAAGATACACACTGTTGACATCTGACCTCCACACACGTATGCATATATGTGTATGTGCAGCACCACCATACACATCCATACACATGAACACACACACACACACATTACTGTATGCCTTATTAAACTTCTTTTGGAAAAAAGTTTACATTTATTTATTGTGTATGTGAGTAATTTGCAGTAGTAGATTCTTTCCTACCATGTGGGCTCCAGTGATCGAGTTCAGGTCATCAGACTTGCAGCAGGCATTCTTACTTGCTGAGCCATTATGCCAGTCCCTAAACTAACTTCTTAGACTTACCTTTCTTGTACCTTAAATGTGACATTATAAGCACTTATATCTAATGTACCAACCATGATATTTAAAAATATTTCCTATTTTGACTGATTTTAATACAATGGCTTTAGCAATTTTTCTTGTTTTTAAAGGACCTGGATAACAGTGTGGGTGAGCTCAGTGAAGGACAAAGGCTCGTGCTGACAGCAGCAGAGGACATCTTAGCAGGACCGTCCATCTGTGTGCCGCAGCCCACTACATCTGCAGAGCCTTCCGATCAGCAAGCAGACCCCGGGGTGTTATTGCAGCTGTCCGACATGGCCTCAGGTACACACAACAGTGGCATTTCTTAATGTTTCTATAAACTACTACTTTGCGTCCTGTTGCAGGTTCTTGCACTCTTCTCATGCTGACAGCTGTAGTGTGTTCTACATCATAATATGTAGTCGTGCTCTTTAAATTGAGAAGTGCAACTTTTTTAGATGGAGGCCTGAAGATTGTTTTATTAAAGGTAATAGCTTTTCTATGGTACACACACTTTCTCCTGAAAATGACTTATGTGTTTTTGTTAGTATGTGCACCGTTGGGTAGGATATGACATACAAATGCTTACAAATTTTTAATGCAGTATATATTTATTATTTATACTATTATATATATATTATTCTAGTATATATTTTAATATATACTAGAAAATATAAGTAGCCCCTCAGAACCAGCAGTCCTGTGTAGGACAAAGTTCAATAGGATCACGCCACTGTAGAAATTTACTCTTTATATTGTGTGACTTTCCAGATGCAGTGTTCAGTGCATTTGGGCTATCTTAGAGATAACTGAAATTTCTGTTTTTAGCACTTTGGAAATTACTAGCATTAGTTAATTCTCATTGTCTGTGGTAGCTGTAGCCTATAAAGAAAGCATGTACATATTAGCAAACACTGAAACTTTGCTCCTAGGAGAAATGGGGGATTGGGTTCCAGCAAGCATCTCCTATCTTGATCAGTACATAATCTGGTTTTGTGATTAGTTCTGTTTAAAGACATTGTATTGAATTAAGCTGTTGATTCATCAATACTGAAGTCACAGCCGAGAGCACTGTACTCAAGCTTGAAGGAAGTATATCTATCACATGTGTATCTCCATAGGCACGATAGAGCTTGCTTGTGCTCAGGGACACTGGACAATAATTACCCTATAAAATATCTTGAGTACCATTCTAAGTAGCCTGTGTGTGTGTGTGTGTGTGTCTGTCTGTCTGCCGCCCTGCCTGCCTGCCTGCCTGTCTGTCTGTCTGTCTGTCTGTTTCTCTCACACACGAGGGAAGGGAGGAGAGATGGAGAGGAGAGAGAGTGACACAAAGGTCACCTTTTACAGTGTAAGAGCTAAAGTACAAAGACAGAGTGGGGTGAGTCAGTTTTTCACCATTTTGTATAGGTCCACAAAATGACCATGGTCCTAGAACTCGCTTTGTAGACCAGGCTGGCCTCAAACTCACAGAGATCCGCCTGCCACTTCCTCCCGAGTGCTGTGATTAAAGTTTCTATAAATATTAATCTTTCATTAGAAATATGTTTCTGTGAGTGGGAAAACTTGAAGATGGAAATTGGCCACTTAACTGAGCTCTGTATGTTCTTTGTTACTGGCTTTCCCAGTCTCATTTTACTGCATTCTGTATAAGGTTGGTGCAAAATGAATTGCACTTTCAGATTGATGGGTTTTTTTGTTTTGTTTTTGTTTTGTTTTTTTGTTTTGTTTTGTTTTTCAAGACAGGGTTTCTCTATATAGCCATGGTTGTCCTGGAACTTACTCTGTAGACCAGGCTGGCTTCGAACTCAAGAAGATCCGCCTACCTCTGCCTTCCAAGTGCTGGTACTAACGGTGTGCACCACCACGGCCTGGCACAGATTGAATTTTAAGTCACTGTAACTAGACTTAAACTTATCAGCTAGTTATAGTCAACACATTTTGGGGGGGGGTCAAGAAAAAATAGGTTTGCTCATTTCTATAACAAAACTGTATGCTTCACACTTTGACAAAGTCTTGGAAAGTATTTTCTGCATTCTGCTGGCTGTGGAAGTACTTAGCCTGTTAAGAGTTCTGCAGACACATAAAGAGGCAGCTGTCAGTTGAGAGGTAGATGAATTTGATCATGAGCAAAACTTCATAGTTTCATCAAGCCCAGTTTGTTCACCTTTTGAAGCACTGGCTGTGGGATCTGCAGTTAGATATGGTCATGGAGAAGACACCAACAGAAGAATTGGGCCCTCCCTGACCAGTGTTGGTTTTTATGCATCTCGGTTTACTGAGCATACTTCTCAGATGTGGTGGTTTTCTGGAATTGAGACGCTGTGGTGGGTAGATTGGCAGCAGACAGTTCTCAGAATCTTTTGGTACATGCAAGCATTTTGGAGCTTCTCAGCCCAACCATTGAGTTGGTCATTGATGGTTGTCATATACAACCCACTTCTTGTTTCATGTCATAATCTAGTCAGAAAATGGCTGGTAATCCTGAAAAGAGTGACAGGGTGGAAGTTTAAAAGTGTGAGTTTTAAAAAGTTCTTAGTCACATGATGAGGTCCTCACTGAATTTTTGTTTTTACTTTTTCCAACTTAATTCGAATGTCCATTGACCATTCAGTGGTCCACATTGAATTCTTGGCAACTTCTAGTATGGTTGTGAGAGCATCAGCTTCAGTAATTAATCATCGTCAAGTTCTGACGGCCAGGTTACTGGGCTCCTCATCCTCAAGGCCCTCATCTCCTTTGCAGAACATCGTGACACACCTCTGCCTCGTATGTGCATTAGCAGTTTCTGAGCCAAACGCATCATTAATGTTGTTAGTTGTCTACACTGCTTTGCCACCTGTTTTGAACTGAAATAAGGAAATGACTTCAGTTTGCCTCTTGTCCAAAATCATTTCCATGTTATAAAAATAAATATAAAGTAGGCAGCAAGTAATGTCAATAGCAAAAACAAACAAACAAAAAAAACCCTCAGAAGTATGAGCATTAAATTGATATATAACATGACCACAATTAATGAATGTGTTCAGTATCAAATGACAAATTTCAACAATGCAAAAAATGTTTCCTTTACCCCAAATTAAGTAAATGAAACATTGGGAGGGGTGCAGCCTTGCTAAGCCTGGAATTAGAACATTTGCAGAGCATTTAATGTTGGCTTCATACTGAGTAAGAGCCTGACATTGTTCAGAATTCAAAGAAATTCAAAACTGAAATTTCCAATGGGATACACATAAAATTGCTGTTATTTATTATTTTGTGCATATGGTGAGAGTATTACAAAAGATTAGTTTTTATATAGCATAAAATGTGCCACATAGGGCCGGGCATTGGTGGCGCATGCCTTTAATACCAGCACTCGGGAGGCAGAGGCAGGCGGATCTCTGTGAGTTTGAGACCAGCCTGGTCTACAAGAGTTAGTTCCAGGACAAAGCCACAGAGAAACCCTGTCTCGAAAAACCAAAAAAAAAAAAAAAAAGTGGCACATATAGTTCACTGTGCAGAGTACAATAACAGAATGGACACTAGAGGGCGCTCATAGATCACCTGAGAGACACTAGGAGGTCAGCTCTTGTAGAATAAAATCTATGAGTTTACAGCCAGTCTAGCACTTCTTTATCTCTGTAGTAGTAGCCAAAGGGCTACCTGTGACATAGTAAATAAGTTTTGTATTTAATGAAAACATAGTTTTAGAAAATCCTAGTCACTTGACGATTAAATTATCTCTTTTTGAGATAAAGAGGAAATATCCCCCCCTCCCCCCCGTAGCTGCCCTAGTTATATGTAGGCAGCCTCAGGTGTGTGCTAGCAACTGCTGTGGTGCTGCAGCCTAACCCCCAGCACCATGAGGAAGGGCAACAGGGGAGGCAATGATTTTTAAAAGGTGATCTTATTTAAGAGTAATACAGATTGTATATAATTTGAATACTTTTTAGTATGATTAAAATTTTTATTATCTTTGTGTGTGTGTGTGTGTGTGTGCGTGTGCGCGCGCGCGCACGCGCATGTGCAAGTGCTCAAGTGTGTGCTTGCATCCTTAAATAATGACTTCCAGGCTTGATTCTCTCCTGCCAGGCGGGTCTCAGGAACTGAACTTAGGTCATCAGGATTGCCAACCAGTGCCTTTACCCACTAAACCATGATTTAACAGACTGTCCTGAATATACAGTGTTCTGAAATATAAAGAAACTGAAAATAATATATATACTTTATTCTTGCCATCATTCAATAAAATATAAAAATTATTCAGAAAGTGTTTTGAATATATTTCAGAAATCACAATATCAGAATACTCCTTTGTTGGCTGTACATAAAGACAGTTTTTGAATAATCTAGTCTAAGAAAATTTTTATTTGTTTAAAACTTTAAAGCTTGTAAAGAATTAAGTTTCATTATGGCACTTTTTGGCAAAATTTGAATTTTTTTGAGATTTAATCTTTAAATATGTATATGGGGGGATGTGCACAGGGGAGACAGAAGAGAGTGTTGAGTGCTCTAGAACTGGAGTCACATTGGCTGTGACTCTCCTGGTGTGGGTGCTGGAAACTACACCTGGGTCCTCTGGAAGAGCAGTACATGTGCTTAACCCTTGAGCAATGTCTTCAGCCCCTGAATTCTCAACAGTAGGTTTATTGTATTGTTTTAACCACAATAATAAAGTAATGTGGCATATGATTGAGTGCGTGTGTGTGTGTGTGTGTGTGTGTGTGTGTGTGTGTGTGTGTGTGTGTGTATTTGTGTATGTGAATATATTGGGAAAAGATGATGTAGCAGAGTGGTTGAGAGTTTGGGATTTTAAAATTTCAGAAATGGATTTTAATTCTAACTCTGTGTTTTGGTTCAAGTAACTTAATATTTCTGAATTACTTTTTGCCCATTTTTTAAATTTATTTTTAAATTTAGTATACAAAATAGTGTTTTATTTTTGTATTTACACACACACACAGGTTATATAGTGTTCTTATTCCTTTCCACCCACCCAGCTTTTGTCATCCTTTCTTCTCACCTCTTGCTGGTGTTCTTCTACCTGCCAGAGAGTTTCCTTTTTCATTTCATGTCGTGTGCATTCTATTGCCCTTTCTTCCACTTGTGCCTACTCCTTTGAAGTCTTTCCTCTTAGTCCCCTTCTACCCTAATCACATGTACACATAGAGGTGAGTGTGAGGTTTGTCTTTCTTAGTCTTGCCTGGGTTATTTTGCTTAATATAATGATCTCAAGTTCCATCAATGTCATCAAGTTCCTACAAATGTCATTATTTTTCTTTACAGCTGAATAAAATTCTGTCATGTCTATGTACTTTTTG